TATTTAAAGGGAAAAAAAAATACACCTTTAGTTTTTAAATATATTTTTATTGATCTCAGAGAGGAAGAGATAGAACATCCATGATGAGAGAGAACCATGGACCGGCTGCCTCCTGCACGCCGCTTACTGGGGATCGAGCCTGCAACCCAGGTCTGTGCCCTGACCGACCGGGAATCGAACCCTGACCTCCTGGTTCACGGGTCGACACCCAACCACCGCACCACGCCGGCCGGGCTGAGATACACCTTTATAACGATGTTTATGTCCACCCCACAGTGGCCACCCAGGAAAACACACAAAGACAGAGACCAAGGCGTATCCACACGTTAGCCATCAGCACGCCGGCGGCGCGCGCTCCCTGGTTCGAAGCCAGGCTCCCCCTGTGGGAGCCCGTGGCCGGGCTGGCTGCCCCCACCTTTGTCCTCTTTCCGATTCCCGGCAGGAGCCAGGTTGGCACCAGCCCCAGGCCTTCGCTCCGGATGTGGCCTCTGCCAGAACAGCCGCCCAGGCCGTCCTCCCGGCACACTGGCCTTCGGTGACACCACCTCCTCCGGGGAGCCCTCCGCGACCACCCTGCCCGAGCACCCACGCCTCCCGCCGAGCCAGTCACCGCCCTGGTCACCGGCACGGCCTCTGGCACATGGATGCCACGCCGACTCACGCACCCCTCACCGCCACCTCTGGAACGAGGGGCCGTGACCTCTTGCCCGGCGGGCAGTGCTGGTCCCGGGGCTGGCCTGCCCGGGCCTCCACGGTGCCGCCTGCGAGCCCCCGGCACAGCCAGGCCCAGCCTGCCGCCGGTGTTTCCTAACACGTGCGCACGCCGCTAACACGGTTAACGTGTGTGCCAGGCGGCAGAACAGAGGGCTGGGGGTTGACCTCTGACCCTGCGTTCACGTTAAGACATTTCCCAATCTCACGAAGAAAGAGGGACACCGCAGACCGGTCGGCGTGGCGCAGGGGTTGAGCGCTGACCTGGGAACCAGCAGATGGCAGGTTCGATTCCCGGTCAGGGCCCGGGCCCAGGTTCTGGGCTCCATCCCCAGGGTGGGGCGTGCGGGAGGCAGCGGATGGAGGGTTATTGGTGTCTCTCTCACCCTCTCTGAAATCAATAACTTTTTTTTTTTTAAAGGTGGGCTCTGGGGAATATGGTCATCACACCGGCTAGGCCCACACCACACCTGCACCCAGGCACGCTCAGGCCTCAGGTGGGCTGACCTGGGGCAGCCACCACCTGGCTCCTCACAGCCCCGGGCCTGGCAGCGGGAGGGGAGGCTCAGAGACGCAGGGAGGAGCTCGGAAACACACAGCCACGCGGGTGGAAACGGACCAGACCCCGCGGCTCTGAAGGGAGCCGGGGCGGAGCCATCTTGGCTCCACGGACAGAACGTCAGCCCACGGAGTGAAACGTCCCGGGTTCGATTCCGGTCAAGGGCATGGACCTTGCCTGCAGCCTGGATCCCGTCCCAGCTCTGGGTGGGGCACATGTGGGAGGCAGCCTATGGAGATGCCCTCTCTTTTTAGTATATATTTTATTGATTTATTACAGAGAGGTAGGGAGAGGGAGAGTTAGAAACATTGATGAGAAATAAACATCAATCAGCTGCCCCCCGCACATCCCCTACTGGGGATGAGCCCGCAACCAAGGTACTTATGGATGTTTCTCTCCCCCTCCCTTCCACTCTCCCTAAAAATAATCAACGGAATAATACCCTCGGGTGAGGATTAACAAAAAATAACCACAAAAAGGGAGTCTGAGAGGGGAGGGTGAGGGCGGGAGGGGGTGGGTGGGCTGGGCCCTGAGGGCATGGGTGCTGCAAGGTGACCGGCGATTGCATCAGGGTGCTGCGTGGCCTGGGGTGCCCGGGCCGTCCCGGGTGATGCAACCCTGGCCAGCGGCCACTCGCCCACGGACGGAGCCCCGGACTGGCCCAGTGGCTTCTGGAACCTTCACGCCCCTGGTTCCCACAGATTTTTTTTTTTTAATTTTTAATTGATTTCATAGAGGAAGGGAAAGGGAGAGAGACATAGAAACATTGATGATGAGAATCACACATCGGCTGACTCCTGCACGCCCCCTACTGGCGATCGAGCCTGCAACCCGGGTCTGTGCCCTTGACCGGGAATTGAACCCAGGACCCATCAGTCCACAGGCTGGCGCCCTATCCACTGAGCCATACTGGCCAGGGCTGGGCTGAAGAGAGTTCAGGTCCAGGGGCCGTTCGGAGCTAACATTCCAGGCTCCTAGGCCAGCGCCCGGGGACAGTCCCGGTGCTGGTCCCCGTGTCCTGGCCCACGGCCACCCCAGGGCCACGTGGTTTTCCGGGAACCCAGCCTCGGGGGCGGGCCCGCCTGTCTGACTCCCGGCGTTGGCCGGGGTCCCCGGCACGGAGACCAGAGCCTCGCCTTCCCCACCGGTAAATGTGTGCCGGCCCGGAGTGTGTCTGTAAACGTGACACCCACACCCACGGGGACACGCGAGTGTGTGTGTGTGTATGTGTGTGCGCGCGCGCTCACAGGCCGAGTCACGCCGAGGTCAGCGGCACCTGGGCCCGGCGTGCGTCCCGTGGCCTCCCTCCCCGTGGCCTCCCCGTGGCCTCCCCCTCCGTGCCTGCGTCCCCTGATGTCCTTCCGGGGGGAGGGGGCTCCCTCGGTCTGCCCCCAGGGCGGGGGGGCCCCGACAGGCCCACGGCTTCTCCGAGCAGAGCCAGCACAGCCAGGGACACAGTAGGTTTTGGCTGACGCCCGGCCGGCGCGTGGCTCCGTGGTGGAGCTTCAACCGATGAATCGGGTGGTCACGGGTTCGATTCCCGGCCAGGGCACAGGCCCGGGTTGGGGGCTCCATCCCCGGTGTGGGGCGTGCAGGAGGCAGCCGGCCCATGATGCTCTCTCATCGTGGATGTTTCTCTCTCTCCCTCTCCCTTCCTCTCTGACATCAACAAAAATACATTAAAAAAAATAATTATATATATATATATATATATATATATATATATATACACACACACGTATGTAAAAAGATGGCGGGTTAGGGTTAGGGGTTCCGGGCGGAAACATGTCGTGGATAACTCGCCCCCCCACCCTGTCCCAGCACCCACAGGGCGTCACGGAGACAGAACTGTACCCCGTGTTCGGCTTTAACACAGCTGAGGCCACGCCCCAGGCAGCCGGCTTCCCCCAGACCTGGTGCCGGGTCCGCTGTCTCCCAGCCCGTCCCCACCCTCGGGCCCTCCCCCACGTGCACCCTCGGGCCCCACCCCACAGAAGGCGGGTGGGACCAGGCTGGGGAGATGGGGGTGTGGGTGGGGGCACCCTCCTGAGTGGGGAGGGACCCGAGGGCGGACGGGTGGACACGGGGGTGGGGCCTGGCCTGGAGCCGGCAGCCATGGTGGCAGCCACACATCCAAGGTCTGTCTGTCTCTTGCTGCCTGGGTGCCAGGCGGGGAGGGCGCCCTCGGGTGAGACACGGGATTAGCCCCAGCCTGGCCGGCGTGGCTCCGAGGCGGAGCATTGACCTACTGACCAGGAGGTCAGGGTTCGATTCCCGGTCAGGGCGCAGGCCTGGGCTGTGGGCTCCATCCCCTGTGGGGGGCGTGCAGGAGGCAGCTGGTCCATGATTCTCTCTCATCACGGATGTCCCTCCCGCCCCCATCTGAAATCAATAAAAACATATTAAATAAAATTTTAATAAAGTAGGACCCTTCGTGCCCCTCCCTTGGCAGCCGGGGTGAAATTCGCTGCTAACTTCCGAGGACCAGGGTGACCTCAAGGCCCTTCAGCATCTGCAGCCCTGAGGGGTCTGGGAGGGCTCAGGGGGGGAGGCAGCCACACGCACCAGGTCGCCAGCTCCTGTCCGGCCCCGCCCCCTCCTGTGGGACCCCCTCCGCCCTGTTCCTGCTCAGGCGGCCTCCCCGGACCCCAAAACAGCCGGCTTCACACTGTGACCCAGCGGACGTACCCCCAGATCCACCCCCTTACCACCGTCAGCCTCGGGCTCCTCAGGACGGCCTCTTCCCAGCGGAACCCCCATGCCCTCCAGGGCTGAGGAGGCGCCTCCCCGCCCAGCTCTCGAACCCTGGCGAACGGCCCTGCCCTGTGGGCGGCGGGCGGGTGGGCAGCCACGCCCCGGGGCCTCCCCACGCCCAGGAGGCCTCCCGTCCTGCACGTCCTCCGTCCACGGCCTCCTCGCGGCTGAGCCCGCGGGGCCCGGGCTGCGGCGGAGGCTCCCTCCCGGCCTCCACCGCCTCCGGGACACGGATCGTCCGGGAAGAAGTGCTGGGGACCCCGAGGGGAGGCTGTGACCCCAAGCAGAAGCCCCTCGGCCTGAGCGCAGGCGGTCCGGGGTCCGGGCCTCCAGGTGCCCCCCAGGCCCCCGCCAAAGGGCATCAGGGCCCGAGCCTGAGCGTCCAGGAAGCAGCGAGGTCACGTCCCTCTGTGGGTGGCACTGGAGCCTGGCTCGGGGGGCTCTGCGGAGTGTTGGGGGGCAGGTGGGCGGAAGCACCAGGGATGAGGGGGCTGTGGGGAGGCGAGGGGGGTGGAGCTGCTGGGCTCTGGGCCCAGTCCCCACGGCCGGCAGTGACGGTGTCTCCTGGACAGACCCTCCCAGCAGGCAGTGGGGCTGGCGCTCCTGTGTCCACCAGTCCGTGCAGACAGCCAGGGGGCCGTCCCTCCATCCGGGAGGCTGACCTGGGGCTCTGCTCGGGCAGCCGGGCGGGTCCAGGGCCTCCGGCTCCGGGTGCTGGAGGCTGGGCCCCCTCCTGCCCCGTGGCCCTGGTCCAGGGGCCGTGACCTCCGCCCTCGGGCCGTGACCTCTGTCCCCGGGGCCATGACCTCTGCCCTCGGGCCATGACCTCCACCCCGGAGGCCGTGACCTCCGCCCCCGGGGCCGTGACCTCCGTCCCCGGGGCCATGACCTCTGCCCTCGGGCCATGACCTCCGCCCCGGAGGCCATGACCTCCGCCCCCGGGGCCGTGACCTCCGTCCTCGTCCTCGCCGGGCGCTCAGAGCGCGGGGGCCCGGGCGCCTTGCCACAGGAGGCCCAGCGGGGGCAGCAGCGCGGCGGCCAGCAGCAGGCGGGCGGGCGCAGGCGGGCGGGCGGCCCCGGAGCTGCAGGCGCACACCTGGAAGCCGTTCTCCGCGTGGCTGCGGTCGTGCCGGCCGGCCGGGGCGTGGGCCCCCGCCTCCCCCTCGGCGCCCGCGCCCCCGCGGCCGGCCTGCGGGTCCCTGCACGCCAGCCAGTCCCGCGCCGTGGGCTGCGGGTAGCCGGGCGCCGCGGCCAGCTCGCTGTCCGGCACCTTCCAGTAGTCCGCCCCGCGGAAGACGTAGGCGGCCCCTGCGGGGAGAGGGGCGCTGAGCTCCGTGGGAGCGTGGGGCGCAGGCCAGAGGGACAGGAGGGTGGGGGCAGGGGCAGGGGGGCAGGGGGGCAGGGGCAGGGCCAGGCCTCTCGGCCCCGGGCGCAGCCTCACAGGCCCCAGGACGCTCCGGGGCCGCAGGGGTGGATGAGACGCCCGTTTTCCACGGGATACGGCTCCGCGGGTCGGGGAGGGACGATGGGGAGGGACGATGGGGAGGGACGATGGGGAGGGACGATGGGACAGGACAGGCCCCGGCGGCCACGCTGCAGGGTGAGGGCCCCGGAGGTCGGCAGCCCCCTCCCCAGCCCCCTCCTCTCTCCATCCCGGACACTCCCACCCTCGCCCCGGCCGGCTCACCGTCAGACCAGCGCATGGCGGCGTCCAGCGCGCGGGGCACGCCCCTCCAGGGCGGGCCGGCGGCCGGGTGGCCGGGGTCCATGCTGCGCGTGAGCTCGTCGAAGCGCCAGTACAGCTGGCCCTTGAAGAAGTAGGTCTTGTCGCTGCGGGCCCAGGAGAGGGCGGCGTCCACGCCGCCGGGCGGCAGGCCGAAGTCGGAGACGGGCCGCGGGAATCCCTCCTCCACGTGCGTGTCCTTGAACACCCAGTATCGGTCTCCTGGCGGGAGAGCGGGGCTCAGCCGCGAAGATGGGGCTCCCGTCCCCATGACCTCGCCCTCCTGCCCCTTACCCCCGCAGCACCCCAGCTCAGTGTTTCCTGAGCGCCCACTAGGGGCCCACACACCACATGGAGGCCAGGCTGGGGGGCCTGTCACCCCAAGCACAGCAGCCTCTGCACACGCCGCGAGGGACGGAGGCAGGGCCGCAGCCTCAGGCGCCTGCGACAGGCCCGTCCTGCCTTCTCCCAGGCGGACTGCGCGCTCCCCGGAGCAGGGGTGGGGTGCACCTGCCATCTCAGGCCCCTGCACCCTCACCCCTCCCCTGGCGCCAGCCTCGTCCTCTCTCGCACGTGGCCAGACCGTCCCTGCCCCAGGACCTTTGCACAGCTGCTCCCTCATCCCCTGCCGCTGCTCATCCTGCCCCCCCCCCCGCCCCCCTGTTCCTGCAGCGCCCCCCAGGGGGGCCCAGAGCAGGTGCTCAGCAAACACTCTGCCATTGCCCCCCCCAGCCAATGGGAGCCCGAAGCACGCCGCCGGCTGCCTCCGAGCCAATGGGAGCTCTGGGGGCGGGGCCTCCGGCAGCCCGGGCCAATAGGAGCTCCAGGGAGTGGGGGCTTCGGGTGCCCACAGAGCCAATGGGAGCTCTGGGGGCGGGGCCTCTGGCAGCCCGGGCCAATAGGAGCTCTGGGGCGGGGCCTCCGGCAGCCCGGGCCAATAGGAGCTCCAGGGGGTGGGGGCTTCGGGTGCCCACAGAGCCAATGGGAGCTCTGGGGGCGGGGCCTCCGGTAGCCCCGGGCCAATAGGAGCTCCAGGGGGTGGGGGCTTCGGGTGCCCCCAGAGCCAATGGGAGCTCTGGGGGCGGGGCCTCCGGCAGCCCGGGCCAATAGGAGCTCTGGGGCGGGGCCTCCGGCAGCCCGGGCCAATGGGAGCTCCAGGGGGCGGGGCGGCCGGCGGGCACCTCGGAAGAAGACGATCTTGTGGTCGGTGGCGCGCTCGTACACGGCGTCCACGCCGTCCAGCTGGGCGGGCAGCCCCCGCCAGAAGCGGTGCATCTGCGCCGGCTGCGGCGACACCAGGTGCCGGTCCCGGGTCAGCCGCCAGAAGTACCTGCCTGCGGGGGAAGGCACGGCTGGGGCGGCCCGGGGCACCATCCCACCGCGGCCGGGGCTCCGGGGGCTCCTGGTGGGGGTGCTCCGGGGGGTGGGGGTGCTCCGGGGGGTGGGGGTACCTTTGAAGAAGAAGGCCTCGCCCCGGATCTGCGCCACCGCGTCGAAGTGGGCGCTGCACCTGTGAGGCACGTCCCTGCCGGGCCTGCGGGCAGAGCGCGCGTGGGCCGCGGCCCCTCCTGGGCGGGGGTGGGGGGTGGGGGGTTGGCGTCCCTGAGGGAGCCCCACGCTGCAGCTCTGGGACCCACAGCACTTGCCCCAAGAGCAGCCCTCCCAGCCCTGGCCGGTGTGGCTCAATGGATAGAGCTTCAGCCTGGAGACTGAAAGGTCCCGGGTTCGATTCCGGCCAAGAGCACAGGCCTGGGTTTGTGGGTTCGGTCCCCAGTAGGGGGCGTGCGGGAGGCGCCGTTCAGTGATTCTCATCATCGATGCCTCCCTGGAGGCTCAAGGCACAGACCGGTGCTTTTCTCCGAAGAGCCTGGGGGGCGGGGGTCTGTTGCAGGGGAGACAGGGGCTCACGTACGGGGTGCTGGGCCGGTGGTCAGGGGGCGCCGGCAGCAGGCGAGGGCCCCCGGGCTCCGCAGTGTCCGGCTGTGCCGTGGGGGACACGGACTCCCGCACGCCTGCGGAGACGGAGGCTGCGTGGAACCCAGTGCACCCGCCTCCCTCGAACCCCAGCCCGCTGGGCAGACGGGCCTGCCTGTGCCCCGGAGCCCAGCACCGGCCGGAGCCAGCGACGGGTCCCGAGACACAGGTGCCTGGCCCCCCAGACGCCAGCCCTGGGCACAGACCCCGAAGAAGCAGACGGTGCTCCCACAAAAACCCCTATGGGTGCTCCCGACGGCCTGACCCCTGACACCAAGGCGGGGCCAACCCAGACGTAACAGCAGCAAATGCAGAGAGGAAATCGTTCTAAAAAGGGACGAAGAACTTCCCTGGCCAGCGTGGCTCAGTGGATAGAGCGTCGGCCTGCGGACTGAAGGGTCCCGGGCCTGAAGGGTCCCGGGTTCGATTCTGGTCAAGGGCATGGACCTTGGTTATGGGCACATCCCCAGTGGGGGGCGTGCGGGAGGCAGCCAGTCCATGGCTCTCTCTCATCATGGATGTCTCTCTCTCCCTCTTTCTAAATTAAAACATTTTCAGGGTAAATTTTACTGCAATAGAATGACCCGGCGCCAGAGGGCAGCGTTGTGGGGAGAGCACGTGGGCGGGCGGCCTGGAGGGCGACCAGGGAGTTCACAGCTGGGCCTCCTTCCTTCCGCGGCACTTCCCCCGCGTCCCCAGCAGAGGGCGCCTGGTCTCACTGCTCCTCCCCAGCCGTCCCCGGCCTCACCCCCCCCTGCCCAGCGGCCCCCTGCACCCAGGGCCCCAGCTCCGGGCCGTCCCCGGGGCGCCCCGCCGGCCCTCGGGGGGGCACTCACCGTACAGCTGCCAGGCGCGCACCCGGTCCTCGTACGGGAGCCCGTAGTGCAGCGGGTCGCCCACCGGGCCCTGGTAGTAGGGCTGCATGATGGACTGCGTGGTCGCCACGTGGCTCAGCCCGATGGCGTGGCCAAACTCGTGCACGGCCACCGCGAACAGGTCCATGCCGTGGGCATCTGGGGACACGGGGGATGGGCCACGGGGGTGAGCCACGGGGGGTGAACCACGGGGGGACGGTGAGCCACGGGGGCCGGAGAGCCACGGGGGACGGTGAGCCGCGGGGGATGGAGAGCCACGGGGGTGAACCACGGGGGGTGAACCACGGGGGGGGGACGGTGAGCCACGGGGATGAACCATGGGGGACGGTGAGCCACGGGGGCCGGTGAGCCACGGGGGCCGGAGAGCCTCGGGGGATGGAGAGCCCCGGGGGACGGTGAGCCACGGCGGTGAGCCACGGGGGATGGTGAGCCACGGGGGCCGGAGAGCCTCGGGGGATGGAGAGCCACGGGGGCTGGAGAGCCACGGGGGACGGTGAGCCACGGGGGCCGGTGAGCCACGGGGGCCGGAGAGCCTCGGGGGATGGAGAGCCACGGGGGACGGTGAGCCACGGCGGTGAGCCATGGGGGACGGTGAGCCACGGCGGTGAGCCACGGGGGATGGTGAGCCACGGGGGCCGGAGAGCCTCGGGGGATGGAGAGCCACGGGGGCTGGAGAGCCACGGGGGACGGTGAGCCACGGGGGCCGGAGAGCCTCGGGGGATGGAGAGCCACGGGGGACGGTGAGCCACGGCGGTGAGCCATGGGGGACGGTGAGCCACGGGGGACGGTGAGCCACGGGGGCCGGAGAGCCGCGGGGGATGGAGAGCCACGGGGGACGGTGAGCCACGGGGGATGAGCCACGAGCGTGGCTGCAGGGAAGGAGAGGCGGTGCCCATGGGCTGGTGTTTTGGGGTTGCCCCTCTGTCAGACCCACCTGGGCCCAGTTGCAGGGACCGGTGTAGGACTCCCGCCCCCCACGGGCAGGACTCCTGTATGGCCTGTGGGGGGGCCTCCATGCGGCCTCTCCCCCCCTCTCCCGCCCGCATCCACGCCTGTGGGCCCCGTAGCTCCCTCCCTCCTGGGAGATGGGACGGGGGAGGACAAGCTGCTCAGCCGGCCAGGGGACACGCAGCCCGGCCCGGCCGCCCGTGGGTCCCTGTGGGGCGGGGGAGGGGGGGGGTGAGGTCGCCAGAACGGGAACCGCCCAGCTGTTCCCAGGAGCCCACAGCTGTGCCCGGGGCGTGTCTCCACTCCTCAGGGCGGCCGTGGCTGCAGCACCCTCCGGTCACCCTCCCGGTCCCTCCCGGTCACCCCCCCCCGGTCCCCCCCGGTCCCCCTCCCAGTCCCTCCCGGTCCCACCCCCGGTCCCACTCCCGCACCCCGGAAGGTCCAGGCCTCGTCAGGGGCCGTGGGTGCTGCACCCTCCGGTCACCCTCCGCTCACCCTCCCGGTCACCCTCCCAGTCCCCCCCGGCCCCCCCCCCCGCACCCCGGAAGGTCCAGGCCTCGTCGGCGTCGAAGTGGGCGTCGCCGGCGGAGTGGTGCTGGCCGGGCAGGAAGGCGTGGGCCATGGCGCCGCCGGGGCCGTCGAAGGGGTAGGGGTCGTCGTGCTCGGCCGCGGAGAAGTCGATCTGGATGTCGGCCGCGCTGCCCGCCACCTCGTGGAAGTTGAGGGGCGTGATGTCGCCCCAGACCTTGAGGGCGTAGTGCATGAGCGCCCGCACCGTGTCCCGGCCCAGAGGCAAGTCCCGCGGGAACGTGCGGACCCTGGGCGGGCGGGAAGGGGTCAGGGCGGGGGTCAGGGCCGGGGTCAGGACCAGGGTCAGGGCCAGGGGGTTAGGGCCGGGGTCAGAGCCGCGGTCAGAAGGGAGGTCAGAGCGGGGGGCGGGGGGGGCAGGTCACCAGGACAGGCGTGCCCCCCTGCCCCAGGCTGCAGGCGGCTCCTGGGGACGCCCTGCCCTGGGTGGGTGAGGGACCCTGCTTGGAATGGGGCGGACGGTGGGGTGTGGCTCAGAGGCTGAGCCTGGACCTGGGAACCAGGTGCCGGGCCGCACGCACCTCCAGGAGAGGTTCCTCTTGCCCCAGGTGGCCGGGGCCGGGGCCTGGCGCCTCCTGCGGGCGGGGCCGGGGCCCGGGAGGTCGGGCAGGGAGCAGCGCGGGGTCCTCATCCGGGCCAGGGTGGCCGCGTCTGCGGGGGGGGGGGGGGGGCGAGGGGGAGGCGGGTCAGCATCCGGCAGCTCAGCCTGCCGGCCCCAGCCCATCGGTGGGGACGGGTGACTAACGCGCGGCCCCGAGGAGGGTCCTCCCAAAACCGGACTGGGCCCGGCCGGCGTGTCTCCGGGCCTGAGCGTCCACCTAGGATTGGGGTCCGGCACAGGCCAGGACTGGGGGCTCCATCTCCACTGGGGCGTGCAGGGGGCAGCTGGTCCGTGATTCTCCCTCATCACGGATGTTCTCTCCCTCTCCCTGCCTCTCTGCCATCAACAAAAATACAATTTAAAAAGTGGGGTGCTCTCTACCCCACCCCAATCTCTGGTTCCTCTTGGAAAGCGGGGTGTTCGGGCAGCACCGGCCGGCACCCCGCAGGGCAGGGTCAGCACGGAGTGGGCTGGCTGTCTGGTGTGGAGCCGGGTCTGGCAGCTGTGCCCACCCTGGGGGAAGGGGAGGGTGACAGGGGCTCCCCTGGGGAAGGGGGGGCACAGGGAGGAGGGGGTGGGGCGCAGGGAGGAGGGGGTGAGGGGCACAGGGAGGAGGGGGCGCAGGGAGGAGGAGGACACAGGGAGGAGGGGGTGGGGGGACAGGGAGGAGGGGGTGGGGCGCAGAGAGGAGGGGGTGGGGCTCAGGGAGGAGGGGGTGGGGACCCCGGCCCCCCTCGCCCCGCACTGACCCAGGATGCCCGTGGCCTCCAGGCCGGCGAAGCGCTGCATGGCGGCCAGGGCCTCGGCCAGCTCCTCCGGCGTCCGCAGCCGCCCGGCGGGGTCCGCGGGGGGCAGGTACCCGAACCGGCCCAGCCACTCCTGCGGAGAGAGGAGGGAGGAGGGAGGAGGGCGGAGGGGTGATGGGGGCCGCCTGGCCGGCCCACCGGCCCCACAGCCCCCACGGGCCCCTCAGCTCCGCACACGCTGCCCCCAGGCCACGTGCCCGGCCGCCCAGGACCCTCACAGGCTGACAGGCAGGAGCCTGGCGGGGGCTCAGCGGTGAGCGCCGGCCCTGGGGCGGAAGGGTGGTGGGTTCGATCCCGCCAAGGGCGGGCACCTCCTGCGGCTCGAACCCCAGCTGCTCAGGGCCCAGGGCAGGCGGGCAGCCCACCCTCTCTCCCTGTCTCCCCCTCCCTCTGCCGATCGGGGGAGAAGATCCTGGGTGAGAACCAGCCGATAATACAGCGGGTTGAGCGGAGACAGTCAGGGCCGGGCAGGGGCCGGGCGTCTAACGGCCCGTCCTGCGCCCCGTCCTGCGCCCACCGGGCTGTGGGCCAGGGCCGCCCCCCCAGGCTCACACCGGAAACGCGGAGGCGGCTCCGGGGAGCGGAGGGCGGAGGGGGGGGCGCCGCCAGAGAGGTCGGTCGGTCGGTCGGCGGCCACGTCGGCGCAGGGGGCGCCCCCCATCTCCCCGCCCCCCTCCCCGGTCGCCAAGGCGCCCGCACGCCGTCTCCAGGGCAACGGGCCGCGGGGCGGAGGGGGCGGAGCCTCCAGAGGCCGGAGGGGGCGCCGATCCCAGCGCCAACCCCGGGCACCGCCGCCGAGGCCTGGGGACCCCGCCCGCCCTCCCCGCGGCTCCGGCCTCCCCGCCGAGGCGCCCGGCGGGGCTGGAGGCCCGGGGGCCCGGGGCGGCCTCCTCCCTCCCCGCCCGCTGGGTGCGCCCACCGGCCCCACCGCAGGCGGGAAACTGAGGCCCAGAGGCGGCGCGGGCTGCCTGAGCCCCCTCCGCCCAAAGCCGGAGGCTCAGTGGGGCGTCACCCGGGACCAGGCGGCCGGCACAGGCCCGGGTTCGGGGCCCCGGGCCCCATGCCCAGCCGGGGCAGCCGGTCGTGGTTCTCACGATGTTTCCCTCCCTCCCTCCCCTCTGACGTCACTGACAGTGCATTCATGGGGGCAATGTTAAAACGTGAGCACAGATAATGCTTTAATGAAAAATGTAAAGGGAAAAGGAATGAATTTATAAAATTAAACAAGAGCCAACGACCCGAGCCGGCCAGCACCGCTGTGCCCGCCCCACCCCGGGGGTGCCATCTGCCCCGGGGCAACGCCCGCCTCCCCGGGGAGGCACCCGCCCCAGCACCGGCCGGGCATCGCGGACCACGGTCTGGACGCTAACGTGGTCCGTGCCCAGACCACCTCAGCCTCACCACACCCCGGGGGCGCTGGGTGGGGACAGGGTGCATGCCTGTGGCGTGTGCTCAGGGTGCGTGCCTGTGGCGTGTGCTCGGGGTGCGTGCCTGTGGCGTGTGCTCAGGGTGCGTGTCTGTGGCGTGTGCTCGGGGTGCGTGCCTGTGGCGTGTATTCGGGGTGTGTGCCTGTGGCGTGTGCTCGGGGTGCGTGCCTGTGGCGTGTGCTCGGGGGTGTGTGTTTTTGGCGTGTGCTGGTGCCTGAAGAACCGCTGAGTTCACCCCCGAGGTGGGCACTGCTGCCCCCACTGCACAGAGGAGGAAGCTGAGGCTGAGAGCTCAGGCCTGTCCCCGTAGCTGCTGCCTCTCCTGGTGCCCAGGGGGAACCCGGGGGGAATCCGGGGGGACCCGGGGGGATGGGGCACAGCTGGCCAGGTGCCCGGGGGCTGGTGCAGGGCCCTGGGGCAGGACCCGCCTGGGCATCCGGAGCGGACAGGGGCCGAGGGCGGGCAGAGGGGGGTGGGCAGGGGGGGGCGGGCAGAGGGGGCGGGCAGGGGGGGTGGGCAGGTGGGGTGGGCAGGGGGAGCGGGCAGGGGGGGCGGGCAGGGGGGCGGGCCCGGGAGCAGTGCCTGTGGGTCCTGTCTGCACCACGCCTGCCAGAGGGCAGCCCGAGGCCGTCAGCACCACCTTTTGCCACAGCCCATTAGGCAGGGGCAACCACTCAGGGAAGCCGGAGCACCTCCCGGCTGTGCCTGCAGAGGGCGCTGTGCCACAGAACACTGCGAACCCCAATCCTCCACCCCCTAACCCTACCTCCGCCTCTACCCCTACCCCCACCTCCACCCCCACTCCCACCCCCACCCCCCACCTCCACCCCCACTCCCACCTGCCAGATGCTGCCCTGAGCCGTCCGGCCATCACCCAGTTCGAGTCCCCTCCTCCTTACCCCTCCCCCCCCCCCCCCCGCCCTGTCCTCACGGCCCATCCTCCAGATGAGCAGACTGAGGCCAGCGCCCGGTCAGGTCCCCGGCCGCCGAGCCGCAGCCTGGGGGCACCCTCCCGGCTCAGCCCAGGCGTCCTGCTCGGTGCTCCCACACCGAGCCCACAAAGACGGCTCAGTCCCCGGCCTGGCCGCCGGCCCAGAGCCGGACTCGCTGGGAGAGCCGCGGGGGCTCAGGAGTCGCCCACCATGTGCATGCAAGCTCCCCGGGCGTGGGGGAGGGGCCTTGGGTTCCCCTCCCCTCCCTTTAAAAAAAATTTTAATTAAATTATTATTTTTGTACCTATACCAATGCCCGCCCCTCCTCCCTCCCCTCTCCTCCCTCCCCTCCCCTCCCCTCCCCTCCCTCCCCTCCCCTCTCCTCCCTCCCCTCCCCTCCCCTCTCCTCCCTCCCCTCCCCTCCCCTCCCCTCTCCTCCCTCCCCTCCCCTCCCCTCTCCTCCCTCCCCTCCCCTCCCCTCCCCTCTCCTCCCTCCCCTCCCCTCCCCTCTCCTCCCTCCCCTCCCCTCCCCTCCCCTCCCCTCTCCTCCCTCCCCTCCCCTCCCCTCCCCTCCCCGTTAACCCTTCCCTGCTCCCCGGCTCCGCAGAGGGCATGTGGCCGCTTTCTCAGCTCAGCTGCCAGGCCTGTGACTCCATCCTGAGCCCGCGGGTCCACGGCTCTCGGGGCGCTGGGTCCAGAGGCCACAGGCCCCCCTGCCACCCCACCCCGTGCCGGCCCCAGGAGGGGGACAGGGTGCCCCCAGCGAGGTCCTGGGGCCGCTCCCCATCACCCCCCTCCGTCCTGTTCGGCCCCTGGCGGCTCCCGGGCCACTGAGTGCGCTGCTCACCCCGCCACCCGCACGCCAGCCTCAGCCACGGCCCCCGGCCCCCATCTGGGCGCCAGGCAGCGGCCGTTCCACGGACAGGCGTGCGGAGCTGAGCGAGGCCACGGGCAGACACGCGAGAGGCACACGCCGCCGCCCGCCAGTCCGGCCTCAGGGTGACACCGAGCCGAGCGGCGTGCTCCCACGGGGCAGACGGAGCCACGGGCGTCCCAGTCAGACGGCTGAGGGTGGACAGAGGCACACGAAGGCAGCAGCTTGTCCCTCGAACCCGCGGGGCTGAGGGGGTCCGGGGCTCAGACCCCGAATTCGGGGAGGATCGGGGGCACAGGAAGAGGGGAGGAGGCAGACTGGGCCCAGGAGGGCACAGCCGGCCCTTTGACCCCGCGCCCGGGCCAGCAGCACCCATCGGCGCGGGCGCAGGGCCTCCGTGCGGCTTCGCTCCCGGCTGAGGCCGAGGCTGGGCTGGGGGGGGGGGTCCCCCGGCCTGGGACCGGCCGCCGCCTGGACCCCCTCGGGGTGACGCTTCCAAAGGGCCCTTCTCCTGACTGAGCAGCCAGCCTGCGTCGCCCCCCACTGGTCTGAAGGGGTCGCGGGAGGGAACCCCGCTCCCAGGCCTCCTGCACCCCTAGGCTCAGCTCCGATGTGCCATCCCCCGGCGGCCACCAGAGGGCGCGCCCTGCCCACAAACCAGGGGCAGAAGGCAGGCCGGCCGGCTTCTCCCGCACCCTGTGGGTGAGCCCGGCTCCCTGGGGTGGGAGCTCCCCAGCAAGGGCAGCGTCCTCTGCGCTCGCTCTCTCCCCCCCGCCCACAGGGCCCGGCGCCAGGGCCCTGCAGTCTCTGGGCTCAGGCTCCAGGCGGGGAGCCGTGGCCCTCCCCCTGTCCGTCCGGCACATCCGGGTGACCCCTGGGTGCTGGGAGCCCATGGGAGCAGGGGGAGGAGGCGCACCCAGCGGGGCTGGCGGATGGTGCCTGACTGCTTGCTCCCTCCCTCCCCCCCCCCCCGCCCCCGCCGCCGGGGGAACCAGAGCAGCCCGGGTTCGAGGGAAGGACGTGGCTGGACAGGAGCCCCGTCCCCTGTCCGTGGCCCCCGCCAGCCTTCCCGGTCCAGCCCCGATGGGAAACGCGATGTCCCCACAGCGTGCACCCCGGGGTGGGGTGGGGGGGCGGATCCCGGACACCCCAGCCCTACAGAGCCGGGAGGAGGTGGGGTGAAGGCGCCCCATCTCAGAGGCAGGGTGGCTGGGAGACCCCGGCGACGGGGCCCTTCAGACCCTGGCTGCACCCCTCAGGGTGGCCCCAGGCCGGGCGGCCAGGCGGGCGGCCAGAGCCTGCGTGTCACCCGGAACCTGTGGCCAGCTCCGGCCAGGACGGGGTGCCGATGCAGCCACAGCGCCCGGAGCTCCCCGAAGCCGTGGACGGGGGCCGCCAGCTCCCGGGCAGGAGGCTGCCCGCCGGGGGCAGAGGGTCCGGAGGCCCGGTCCCCGGGCGCAGGGGGGACGGCTGCGGCGGGGCCCTCGGGAGGGACCTGCTTCAGCACCAGCGCCCCGGCCTGGCCTCGGGGGAGCGGGGGCGGCGGACGTCCAGGCTGAGCTGACCCTCCCGGCTCCAGAGGCGGCTCCGGGCCCGGCGGGCTGCAGGGGGGCGGGAAGAGGCGCGGCTCCCGGGCCGCGGGGCAGCTGGGCTGCAGGACGTGGGCGCCGGGGGCGCCGGGGCTGCCGCCGAGCCCGGGACGGCAGGGGCCCCGTGGCGCTCGGGGCAGGGCCGGGGGCGGCGGGGCCGGGGGCGGCGGGGCCGGGGGCGGCGGGGCCGGGGGCGGCGGGGCCGGGGGCGGCGGGGCCGGGGGCGGCGGGGCCGGGCTGGGCGCCCGAACAGAGCGAGTGGCGGTGGCGCAGGGCCAGAGCCCTGCCCGGTGCGGGGCCGGCTCCCCGCTCCCCCGCGCCCTCCACGGAGCCAACTCGAGGATCGCCGCGCTCCGGGCGCCCACGCTCCGCGGCCCCGGCCTCTCCGGCGCGGGGGGCGCCCCTCTGCCGCCCTCCCCGGGGCACCTGCTCCCGGGCCGAGGCCGGCGCCCCCACCCGCGCCCTCCGGGCTCCCGGCTGCAGCGCGCTCCGCTCCGAGCGCCCGGGGCGGGGAGGGGCCGGCTCCGCGCCGCCCGGCTCAGCCCCGCACTCCGCCCCGCGCTCAGCGGGCTCGGCCGCCGGGCAGTGGGTCCGGGCGCCGGAGGGGCCGCCCGCCCGCCCGCCCGGAGCGCCCGCGGCTGCGCACTCACCACCCCCGAGCTGAGGTCCTCGGCGCGGGGCGCGGGCGCGGCGCGGCCCCCGCAGGCCGCCAGCACCAGCAGCAGCAGCGGCAGCGGCGGCGGCGGCGGCGGGACCTGCGGCCGGGGCCGCGGCGGCGCGGGCATCGCGATCGCGGGGCGGCGGGCGGGCGGCGTGAGGTCCCCGCGCCCCGCGTCCCGAGCGCCCCGCGCGCCGCTCCCGGCCGACTGAGCAGCCCGGCGGAGGGCGGGGCGGGGCGGGGCATGCTAACGTATGCTAATGAGCGGTGGTTAGCCCCGCCCACCTTCTTAAAGGGCCCGCTCCCCGCGGGATGTTCGGAATCCCCGCGCCCGTCAGAATCCACCTGGGCGCCCGAGGGGCGAGGTTTGCCTGGGGTCCCCACCGGGTGGGCGCGCAATCCGGGGTCCCGGCCACCCCCTCCCCAGGACCCGACCCCGGCTCCCGCCGGACCCCGCGCGGCAGCCGCACGCCGAGCGACCGCTACGTGGCGCCCCTGCCCCGCAGTGGAAGGCGCTGGAGGGGGGTGGGGGCTGGGGTGGGGGCTGGGGTGGGGGCTGAGGTTTGGGGCTGTGGGGGCTGGGGGCTGAGGGCTGTGGGGCTGTGGGGCTGTGGGCTGTGGGGCTGGGGCTGTGGGCTGTGGGGAGGGAGGGCTGGGGAGCAGGTTTGGCAGCGGCGGGGTCAGCGAGGGCGAGGGTCTGAGGTCACTGGGTTTGGGTTTGTTGGTGTGTGGCCTCCCGTATGGAACCGCACTCGCTTCTCACAACATCTCGTTAAAACTGCGGTCCCCATGGCCAACCAGGAAACAGGCCGAGACGCGGAGGCATCTGCTGGAGGCCCCGGCGCCGGGGGTCTTGGGATGCAGACCCTTCCTCACACTGGGTTTCACTCCCTCTCCCCCTTCATCCCGCGGTCACTGCTGGTGTGTTAGGATGGAAGTCCCATTCTACAGACAGGGAAACTGAGGCCCAGGCCCTTCCACTGAGAGCTGGGCTCCAGGCAGAGTCCCCTCCTCACACCCCCACCCCCAATCCCCACTCCTCCTGTCCCTGTCACTCCCAGAGCCTGGAGGCAGCTACCGCCACATCCTCCACATCCACTCAGCCACACAGGGTTTCCCAGCCGCAGGCCCAGGGCCCCGTCATTGGGGGGAGTCCACTCCGTGCACTGGCCTGGGGAGGAGGGATTAGCTGAAAAGGAAGTGGAGGGTCCTGTGGCGTGGCTCAGTGGCTGAGTGTCGACCTAGGAACCAGGAGGTCAGGGTTCGATTCCCAGTCAGGGCACAGGCCTGGGTTGCGGGCTCCATCACCAGTGTGGGGCGTGCAGGAGGCAGCAGATCCATGGTCCTCTCTCATCAGGGATGTTTCTCTCCCTCTCTGATATCAATAAAAATATTTTTTTACAAAAAGGAAGTGCAGGTGCTGGTCTGAGGCAGGGAGGTGGGTGGCAGGCAAGGCTGGATCAATGGGTCTGGGGCGGCACTGGAGTGGCTGACCCCACTGTGGACCTGGTCTGCTGCTTCGGAGACGTGAGGGGACTGGCTGAGGGGCTGTGCGGGACCAACCTGGGAGGGCGGAGAGAGAGGTGGCCTGGGACAGTGGCCTGGGAAGGGCCTCCCTCTGGCTGGTCCGCTCCATGGTCAGAGCATCGGCCCGAGGTGCAAAGGACCCAGGTTCAATTCCAGTCAAGGGCATGTGCCTCGGTTGCAGACTCCATCCCCAGCCCTGGTACGGGTGTGTGCAGGAGGCGACCGATAGAGGAGTCTCTCTCACATCGGTGTTTCTGTCTCTCCCCCCCCACCCCACTCTCCCTAAAAATCAATGGAAAAATATTCTCGGATGAGGATTAAGAAAACAAGACAAATAGATTCAGCAACGGCCTACAGACAGGGTTCTCCCAACAGGCCGGAGGGGCTGGAGAGGGCGCGGGAGCCGAGGCTGTCCGGGTCGAGCCACCACTGAATCTGGGGTTGGGACGTGGCCGGAAGCCAGGCCCCAGGAGGCTGGTGAAGCGTGTGGCACTCGGCCGCGGGGAGGGCGCAGGCTGAGGGCCTCGCCGAGGAGCGGGGACCAGCTGGCACGGCCTCACTCGGAGGCCCCCGGGGAGCCGATTAAAATTTAAAGTGCATTTCCCAGGCCCGGCGTTCCTGCCGCCCTAGAAAGCTCGCCCGCCGTCCTCGCACACTGCTCCCGGGCCTCCAGGCCTGTGCGTGGCGGTGCTGGCGGGGCCCTGCCTCCCGGAGGGGACGTCTGCACTGGAGAAGCAAGAGCACCGTTTCCTTTACTTTTTAAAACGTATTTTTACTGATTTCAGAGAAAGGGAGAGAAACATCAATGATGAGAATCATCACTTGGTCGATGGCTGCCACATGCACCCCACCCCCGGCCCGCGCCGGGGATGGAGCCCACAGCCTGGCCTGGAGCCACCTCCCTCTGCTCAGCAGCTGAACCGCGGGAACACACCACGGAGTGCACGCGTGATGGCGAGTGAGTGGTGACAGACACGTGTGAACACAAGCCACACAAGGAAGGAGCTGCCAGTCCGTAGCTAGAAAAGGTGTTTTCTTCCATTTTATTGGTAATACATTTCACAGAAACATGATACTATTTACAAATATACAGGTAAGAGGCTGCTGGTCAAAAATCTTAAACTAAAATTGTCATCAAAAATGCATTTACAAAACCCACACCGCCGGGGAGGGGCGGCCAATCAGGAGGCGCTGGTCTGCATGTTTTTGGAGGCGGCCAGCATGGCGCGGACTTTGGCCATGAGGTCCTGCGGGAGGAGACAGACAGAGGGGCTCCTGGGAGCTGCAGGGCCCCGGGGGGCCAGGGGCAGGAGGGGTTATGACAGCCGGGGGCCGGGACCGAGGCGGGCGGCAGGCTGCCAGGACACCCGGGGACCCCGGGAGCTGAGGTGGCCCCAGAAAAGGGAGATGGAGACACGTGCCCCGCGAGCAGAGACCCCCCGCGAGGCAGACATCCCCATGGCCGACACCCTCACCTGCGTGATCTTGCTCTGCACAGAAGACACGATGGCCGAGGAGATGTGCCCCTCCTTCTCCTGAGACACGCCCCTGAGGCACATGGGGCAGAGCGTCACCCGCCGCCCCGAGCCACCGAGGCCAAGGGGCGGAGGGAGGGCTGTGGACGGCCCCCCAGAAGCCAGCTGAGGACAGGGCGTTGGGGAGCGGCCGTGGGCTAAGGACCGTGATGGTCCGGTGGGTGTGGGCGCCCCCACCTCCGTCACTGCTGACGCCGGAACCCGTGGCTGCTGCGGAGGGTGGGTGGAGGGGGAGAGGGGTTCCCTAACGGGGGGCGGGCGGGGCCGGGGGGCCTGGGGTACCTGGAGCGCTCCTGGCTGGAGCCGCGGCTCCCCACCGGAGAGATGCTGGCCGAGTGGGCGGAGTGCCGGCGCGGGGCCTGCTTGCTGGGGGACGCTGAGCGGGACTCGGCCTTGGACTTGGTCCGTGACCGTGAGCGCCTCTTCTTCTTCTTCTCGTGGGGGCTCCTGGGAGGACGGGAAGGGTGGTGTTTGCAGCGGCCACGCCTTTCACACCAGCGCTCTCCAGTGGAGGCAGCCGGCCCGCAGGGTCCCCCGCCCACCCACGCCGCCTCCAGCTGTGCAACCGCCCGCCCCGAGCCCCCGAGGGCCCGTCATGCACCTGTTGTCGCCCCGAGCCGCCCAGTTCCGCAGCACCCGCCTCCCCGCCCCCCAGGAAGGACCAGGGAAGAAACAAGGTGCCGAGGGCGCCGAGCCCCTCCTGGTCTCCCACCCCCAAGAGCCCACCCACCCTCCTATTTTGTGCAGCGTCTGCTCAGCCTCGGGAGCATGCCCCTCAGAGCTGGGCGCTGTCCGCACCCAGGCCACCGCCCCTGCCCTCCGGGCTCAGCTTGGCACCACTACCCAGAGCGGTGCTGTCCCTGGGGTGGCTCCCGCCCTCGTCAACACAGGGAGGTGTGTGCTGAGGGCAGCGCTGGGCGGCGAGCGGGGCGGGCCGAGGCCGTGCCGTGTCCCGCAGGAAGGAGGGCTGCGAGGGCCGGCCGTTCAGAGCGAGGCCCCGGGCCGGCCACCTACCTGGAGCGGGTCCGCTTCCTGCTGACGCCGGGGCTGTTGCTCACCCGGTAGGCGGTGGGCACGCTTCTCTCCTCTCTCCGCCTCTCGGGAGAGTGAGCTCTTCTCCGCGGGGACCGGGACCGGGACCTGGGCAGAGGAGCGGGCACTCAGTGCTACTGCTGGCTGCGGCCGGCCCGGGTGCAGGGGACGGGTGCCTGCCGGAGGCCGCCCACTCCCCGCTCTGCCAGCCCAGAGCACCTGCCTCAGCGACACCCAGCGACACCCAGCGCACAGCTCACTGCGCCGGTGCCTCTGCCTGTCTCCCCGCCGCTCCCGCCACAGCGGCAGGAAGGCACGGAAATCCCAGCGGCCATGGCAACAGGGACACTGGACCAAGGGGGCGAGGCCTGAGCTCAGGTAACCAGGCCCATGGCTGTGCTCCTCGGCAAGCAGCTCCCGCCCCAGGCCACCCCACCTGGCCCCGCGGCGACGGAGGCCGAGGGACCGACAGTGCCGACATCGCGATGCATCCGTCCTTCCACGTGGCGCGGACCCCCTGCCGGCACCAGGCACCCACAGGCACCAGGCCAGCGACCCCACTCGGTCCTCTAACGCCGGCCCAGGACCTTCCTCCAGTTCCTGTGAAATTACTGTTTTGGGAAGACGTGCAATAAGCAGAAATCTGGGGAAAAAAGCACCCAGTTTCTTTTTGTTCTGTTTCTATGACAACCTACTCAAAAAACAATCAGAAGAGCAGTTTGATTCTGCCAGTTTAGAAAACCCCACATCGAATCACTTTAATTACAATGACGCGCCCCAATGCCAGCGTGTGCTCTGAAGACAGGTGCGGGCACTCGGACCCCGCCCCGCCCCGCCCCCCGGGAGAGCTGCTGCTCAGGGGCCGTGTGTGTCCCTCCCCGCACCCCCTCTCCCCCCTGCCCCTCTGCTGAGGTCCAGGTAACTGGGCAGAGACGGGGTGAGCTGTGTCCTGGGGGAGCGGGAGGGGGTGCTGTGACCCAGGCACAGGCCACCCACAATGCCGGGCTGGGCCGGTGGGACAGATCCTGGCACC